GTAGCCCTGCGCTGGACTCTCTCCAGCAGCTCCACATCCCTCTTGTACTGGGGAGCCCAGAACTGGACACAGTCTCCAGATGTGGCCTCACCAGGGCTGTGTATAGGGGGACRRYCHCCTCCCTCRACCTGCTGGAGACGCTCTTCTTAATGCACCCCAGGATCCCGTTGGCCTTCTTGGCCACCAGGCACCAGGGCACACTGCTGCCTCATGGTCATCTTGTCATCCACCACGACACCCAGGTCCCTCTCTGCAGGGCTGCTCTCCAGAAGGTCAGTCCCCAGCCTGTACTGGTGTCTGGGGTTATTCCTCCCCAAGTGCAGGACCCTGCACTTGCCCTTGTTGAGAAACGTCATGAKATTTCTCACTGCCCAGTTGTCCATTCTGTYCAGGTYCCTCTAAATGGCAGCACAGCCCTTTGGGGTATCAGCTACTCCTCCCAGTTTAGTATCATCAGCAAACTTGCTGAGTGGACACTCCATCCCTTCATCCAGGTTGTGGATGAATAAGTTGAACAGGACCGGACCGAGGACTGACCCCTGGGGGACACCGCTAACTATGGGCCTCCAACTGGAGTCAGTGACGCTGATCACCACTCTCTGAGCTCTGCCATGCCGCCAGTTCTCAATCAACCTCCCTGTCCACTCATCTATCCCACACCTCTGGAGCTTGCCCAGGAGGTTACTGTGAGCGATAATGTCAAAAGCCTTGCTGAAGTCCAGATAGATGACATCCACCACTCTTCTCCCTTTGTCTATGCAGCCAGTYACTCCATCACAGAAGGCTATCAGGTTAGTCAAGCATGATTTCCCCTTGGTGAATCCATGCTGACTATTCCTGAGCACCTTCTTGTCCTCCACAAACTTGGAGACAGCAGCCAGGATGAGCTGTTCCATCACTTTTCTAGGGATGGAGGTGAGGCTGACTGGCCTGTAGTTGCCCACGTCCTCTTTCTTACTCTTTTTGAAGACCAGAGTGATATTGGCTTTCWTCCAGTCCTCCAGCACCTCCCCTATTCTCCAGGACCTTTTGAAGATGATGATGAGAGGCTTGGCTATGACATCCGCCAGTTTACGCAACACTCTGGGGTACATCCCATCAGGGCCCATGGATTTGTGGGTGTCGAGTTTCCCTAAGTGCTCTCTGACCACTCTTCCTGTACCCAGGGCAAGTCATCTTCTCTCCAGGCTTCTTCTCTTGTCCCTAGAGTCTGGAATTCCAGAGGGCTGCCCTTGGCGAACACTGAAGTAAGAAGGCATTCAGCAACTCTGCTTTTTCTGTCTTTTGTAACCAAGGCATCCACCTTGTTCACCAGTGGACCCACGTTCTCCCTAATCTTCCTTTTCCCATTGATATAGTTGAAGAAGTTCTTCTTGTTATTTTTAACATCTTTTGCCAGATTTAATTCCAAATGCACCTTAGCCTTCTCTGTTGCATCCCTGCATTCCATGACACTGTTCCYGTATTCCTCCCAAGGGGCCTGTCCTTTCTTCCACATGCTGTATGCTGCCTTCTTCTGTTTCAGTTTTGCCAGAAGCTCCTTGCTCATCCACGCAGGCCTCCTGCCTCCTTGCTTGCCTTCCTACTCATAGGAATACACCGATCCTGAGCTTGGAGGAAGTGCTACTTGAATACTACCCAGCTCTCTTGGGCCCCCCTTTCTTCTAGGGCCCTAGCCCATGGGATTCTTCCAAGTAGGTCTCTGAGGAATCCCCAGTTGGCCCTCTATGGTTGCAAGGCTACTTACAGGACATGTAGTCCATGGTTGCAAGGCTACTTACAGCCCTACTTCCTCCTTATTGGATCCTGAACTCCACCAACTCATGATCACTGCAGCCAAGCCTACCCTCCACCTTCACATCTCCGAAAAGTCCCTTATCAGAAATTACTGAAAAGGCCATGGTATGGTGATGTCACAAAAATTTTGGTCTCCTTTGACTGAGTCACAGAACTTCATGCAAAAGAAAGTAGTAACTCTTCTATGAAAGGCTCCAGTGTTAGGAGGGCTGTCTATTAAGATCAGGGGATTGTTCACTGAACGGCAGAGGATCCTTTCGTCTTTTTAGCTCTCTAATGATGAGTTCAGGATGCAGTAATCTAATACAGTGGTTGCAGCACTGGAGATGTACCCAAAGTGATGAAACAGGAGAGCAACCGCACCAGGCTGTCACAAGTCTTTGTATGTCCCGTCTACTTCCGTGATTCCTCTTTTATTACTAAGGTAACAGGAAAGACTGTGAGGAGATAAACGTAAGTGCTACTAGGTGTCTTTATGTGGCAGGGTGCTGAACACTGTTACTTAGGAGGTATTTGCTATTCTAATTAGAACCACACTGTTTTTCTTAGCATCTAGGAAAGATTCTTCAGCATAGACTATAATGGTTGACAGGGAAATAGTTGCTATGGAACTATTTTCTAGTACGGCACGGCAGCATTTAGCATGATTTGATTTGCATCCCTTCCATGCTGCAATTTCTGCAGTGTGATCTGACCATAGATTTTACTAGCAGTTTCCTGGGAAGCATAACTCAACACTCAAATTAGCTGTCTCCTGAAATATAGTAGGAGTGAGTCCCCTCACCCTCCGCCCCAGCTTAGCAAAATTGCTTACAGTTGTGGAGATCAATCTAAGAAATTATTTAATATCTCATTTAGAAGTTATCTAGCAGACAGGCTTCTAATAAACATACTTTTAAGAAAATGAAATTGGTATTTCTCAGCTGACTAAAGAAATCCTTTTCCTAGTCACTTATACTTTTATAGATGATGAAATTCCTAGTCTTTTCAGCCACACTTTAGTTGTCTACCATTTGAATAAAAGGGTCCCAGAACATCTGAAAATTCACTTCATCTACAAATCAGTATTTCCTGTGATACAGGACAAAGCACACATAATATAAAGTGCACAGAAAATGAACAAGCAGTGACAAATCAAAAATAAATGTTTTGAATTTATTAAGCTCATTTATTTTTATTTTAAAGCTAGATGAAAAAGATGATACGTGAACAATTGTATTTGAAATTAATACAGGTAAATAGTGTCAAGTAACTATCAGTTCAGATTGGTCAAGGGAATTGGCATTTTGTATTTATTAGTTGCAATATGTCTTGTGCTTTCCATGTGTTTTTCATGTATGCATTTATTATTTTATGGTGGAAGGAAGGAGTTATGTTAAATACAATTAATCACCACAATCCAGACTCAAAGTGTGAAATAATTGGAACTTCCATTTCTGCTGCTTGTAGAAATCCATCTATATAAAAACCTTTTATATCTTTTTTTTTTTCTTCCTTTGAAATTAAGCTTAATACTGTGGAGTTTGTTGAATCCTTATCTAAACAAACTCTCCCTTCTTAAAGTTTGAATTAAGCTATAGTTTATTAATATAAATGCAGCTGAATCAAACTCTTCTTTGTGTAACTATGCTATTTTTGGCAGGGGGGTCGTCTAGAAACAATAAATTGTAGCAGGACCTAAATTAACATATTGTATTGAAGGAATGTAATATACTTCCAAAACTAAATGTGTTAACAAAACTGTGACTGTGAAACCATACATCAAGGTATGCCAGGCTATATTTACACATTCCTTTCTCAATAAATGAAAATCAATTTGTATTTTTAGGATTATACAAGGCATATTTTCATTGCAGCCCATAGGTACGCAGCGATTTAAATAATTATCTTTTCTATTTGAAAATTACTTTGCCTCTGGGGCTTATCCTTACACGAAATATCGCTAAACATATTTAATAATAATAATAATAATAATAATAATAATAATAATAATAATAATAATAATAATAATAATAATAATAATAATAATAATAATAGCTGGAAGGTAGTGCCGGGGCAGAGGGCGTCAGAATGCGCGTTTTGCCCTCTAATCCCCCGCCTAGGCGCAGAGGCGCTTTGGGCGCCCCCGGCGCCGCAGCTTTGCGCCGCGGGCAGGCGGGCGGCAGCGACCGTTGCGCGGCCGTTAGGTGGCTCACTACGAATGCGGTTGTGGCGGCCTGCGGGCCCCTCCCCCAACCCGCCACAGCCTCTCTGGCTGCCCCGGCTTTTTTATTTATTTATTTTTTATTTTTATTTATTTATTTTTTTTTTCTCTCGCGACGTGTGAGTCATTTACGGGCACAGGGAGAAAAGGAGCCTGTCTTTGAATAGTCGGGACCTGGGTGTCGCTCCGAGGATGGCGTTCACAAGCGGGAGCCTGAGGAGCGCTCTATTCGCCTCCTCGCATAACTGCCTGCGCCTTTTGTTCCGCGTGTCCTTGGCAGAGGCTGAAAGAACCGGGCCTCTAATACTTGGGTCCTGCTGTGCCACTTAAAGAAATAATAAGCCATTGTCTTCATTAAGCAAGCCTTGTTTTAGCAAACAGAATTCAGATACTAAAAAGGGAACATTTTTAAGGTGGGGAGGGGGGAAAGAGAGGGAAGTAGAGACAGAGATGCTTTACAAAATTCCCTAGAGAAACGCTTTCTTCCCACTATTTTATTGCTACTTACTGAGAAGATTCATATTCAAATAGGCTGGGGTTGTGAATCGGTCGCCGGCACATTCTCATGCACCCAGGAAGGCTATGATTATGGCTAATTACAATGACGAATGCAATGCTAACAAGAGTGCTCAATCAGATTGCTGTTCATGCATGAAGCGACCGGGGCTGCCCAATGGAGGTGTGATTTGGGTAATTACAAACAATGGGGCTAAGCTGAAGGAAAAAAAGCTTAGTAAATCTGCTCGAGACAAAATAAGGTCTAATTAATCACTTTAAGTCCCGAATTCTCCAGATGATCTGCATGCTCTGTTCTATTTAGCATTCTTTTAATAGACTCGGTCTAAGGGCTAAGAATGCTTCCTTTCTGCTCGTACTTTCACTGCGCAGAATGCAACTGTTTCAAAATATTCCGACTCGCTTTTTGTGACGGTCATGTTGCAACCTGCTTTTTTTTCAGGCAAGTAGATGGCATGTTACAGAAATAAACATGCTGCTATTTGCCCCGCTAGCAGCRTCATTATCTGCTTGGAGAAAAACTGTGAAGTTAGTTTAAGTTGTCATATAGTATTAGTGACCTCCTTCCCAAAGCTGCTTTTGTTGAAGTAAAGGGGAATTTTGACTTTGCCCCCAAAGACAACAGATTTTAAATCTGTTTTTGACAGACACTAGTGCTCATACTAAGGTAAACAAATTACTAAGTACCCACAATACATTTTAAACTTTTGTTTCCTCATTTTTGAATGAAGTGTTAGCAGCATCAGAAGTCAAATGAAGTCTAATCTCTTGGCAACAAAGCACCAAAGGCAGGGTAGGGTAGTTTTTGTTTAATGTGTTAATACACCTTCCAGATTCTATTTTAAGCATTCTAATAYGTGAGCCAATATTTTAATACCAAAAAAGATTTAGATTAGGTTGTGCTTATACACATACCCTGCTCTGAGAATAGTGTGCCATGTACTTTGCATATGCTTCCTTCAATGAAATCTTCCATATCATTTGATAGGAACTCTTTTTGAACCCTTTCAACTATTAAGAGCAACAGGTCTTTACAGTTGATATTAAATAATAATAGTTCTTGAAATTAATCTGCCCAGCATATTTTTGTCTATGCTCAGAAAGATACCAGTCTCTCCTGATATGTGGTTATTGAGTATTAGAGTGCTATTTATTCAGAAAACATATAAATTCCCTGTTTTTCTTTATTGTGTATTCTAAACTATGAAGTAAATAGCATTTACTTTAAATTTACTTTAAATTATAAAGTAAATACCATTGGTGTTTGTTTGAATAATCCTTCACTAATCTTTATTGGGTGTGTTTTTGTCATTTGGACGAGTCAGCAGTTTCTCAAAAGATACTTTTGAAGTTCAAAGATACTACAATTAGTATAAAAAATGTATTTTTCCTGCCTGAAAATGTTGATGAGATGGATGCAGAGGTTGAAAATTTCACTTGATACATCAGTTCCTGGCTAGAGAATTTTTAATTGGGGTTATTTTGTGAAATATTTCTTTCAGAAATTATAAAGCTTAGATTTGAAGTGTTAAAATAACTTTTTAAATACAACAAATTGGAGCAAGGTTTCTGTTTGTACTTGTTTCATATGATCTTTTACATGTGTAAAACCTTTATCTCTGATTCTTCTGACATAGATGTCATATTTATACCATGCACCAAGATATTGTCTAAATGACTGCACTTCCTGCCTTATCTGTTCTGTTAAAACACATGATTTTCAGAGTGGGGTTCAACTATAGATGCCTTGAGAGCCATAGGTAGGAAATTCGGAACCTTGGAACAGGCTGCCCAGAGAGGCTGTGGAGGCTCCTTCTCTGGAGATCTTCCAAACCCACCTGGATGGGAGCCTATACCACGTGCTCTAGATGTTCCTGCTGGAGCAGGGGGATTGGACTAGATCTCTAAAGGTCCCTTCCAACCTCAACCATTCTGTGATTGTGTGAAATTTGTAGTATGTGTCTTAAAAAAATTGTTAGAAATTCTGTCACACTCACAGAATTTTGAATGGTGCAGTAGTGCAGTCTCTCTTAAGGACCATGAAACCACTGCTTGTGACCACGCCCAGCTGCTTCGCTAGGCCCTCAGAGACACGGTGCTCACTGAGCCAGCGGCAGGTTGTGTCTGCCCCTTGGTGGGCTGCCCTGGTCAGCAAGCGGCCCGGGGAGGCTGAGGGCAGGCAGAGCCGGAGGGCAGCACCGGCAGCAGTGGGGCTGGGGGAGGGAGGATCATCTGGGTCAGGCAGGGTGATTGTATTAGACAGTTTTGAAACCACATCCTTTATAACCTTTGCTTGTGTTTTGCATCCTTCGTTCCCCCATTAACAATTTTTTTTCAAGGGGTGTCTTCATGATTGTCTCTGTTGTGTTTTAAATAGATAATGCTCTTACATGGGAGCCTCTGTGTGATCTTGTTTAATTTTCCGGTAGTCCCATGAGTTAAAGTGGTCTAGGCCATACACCAAACATTCAGATGTTAGCTAATACTAGCTAGCATAACTAGCTAGATAATCCATTTCATAACTAGGTCACACAAACTGCTCCTAATCTAAGCAACTACGGAAGTTATCATTTTAGCTGCTTGCAGTTTCTCATCTGTTAAAAATGAGAAGCTTACTCGAATACGGCCATGTCCTTAGCTTGAAAATCTCATCACAAATGGAGTATATGGTACACATACAGCAATCTTGCTTAGCAGTCTAGCCACTACTGAGGTAAATTATGTTGGTCCCTTCTCTGTGCGTCTTCAYATCACCACTTTTTATTTGCATAAGTTTACTAAGAGTAGTATTTTTTTTTCCAAAAAATACCTTTACTTGGAATTTTAGTACCAAACGAGCATTATAATTGGAGAGAGAATAAAATTAAGACTGTTCACATTACTGGTCTATAAAATAGAATTTCTTTTGAATATGGAAGTCTATGCTGCAGTAGAAGGGTTTTATTGGTATACATCTTTGGATGACCTACATATTGCCTATAAATGTTTATTTTCTCAGTGTAATATTCTTTCATTATAAAAATGTGGAGCTATTGTAGGGCTACATAAATGTGTCTATTTTTGTCAAGAAAGGTTTCTAATAAGTTGGCTTCTATAAGATGTTATTTAAGATAATCTGAAAGAAATACTTTTTTTTTTTTTTCACAATACTTACAGTGTATTCCAGCATATTTGGGATTTAGGMTTCCTATCTCTCTGAACTTAATTATACACCCTTCATAAAATCTAAGACAAGATAATTTATTAGACAAATAGAGAACTTGTCTAATAAATACATTTACAGTGACAGGTAAAATGCCTTTATATATTCTTAATTATGTTCCTCTAATAAAAAAAGTGACACGAAACTACTGTATGAATTTTTTTCTTGTATCCTGAAGTTCAAATCCTGGAAAAAAAATAAAGCTGCTCTAGCTTGGCACTCTGACTTAACTAATTTATCCTGCTTGCCAGAAAATTTTGAGGTATAGGAAATTCAGCTGCTCTGGTGGCATCTCTGACAATATGTTCCCACAAACATCATCCTGGAAATTGTACTTTTATAATAGAATGTGTATTATTGGCAGGATATCCTGGAAAAAATACCCGGTTAGAGCAGTTCCCTGTGCTTTCCAGTGTTAGAGTTACTGGTGGATGTTCTGGATGTTCTGGATGTTGCAGCTATTCTGGATCTGGGCTGTTCTTGCCTGTCTCAGTGACACGGAGTGTGCAGTGCATTAGGGCCTACAATAGGTTGGCTAGCGGCATGTGATGGTATGATATTATTCCGTGTTATTCTTATACAACATAATGCAGCATATAAAAGAGGTAATGAATTAAAATAGTCATTACATTTTTTGAAGTTGCYAATCATTTCTTTCATAATTGCTTTTTTCATAATTACAATAAGATTATTTTTACCCTTCATTTCAATCTAAAGCAGAATATTAATACCACTTTTTTTGTAGAAACTATCATATTTTTTCCTTTTGCTTGAGGCACTACAAGTTTTTTGTTAGGGAGCAAAGGGGAAAATCAAGATGGCTGGATGTAGAACCAGCAAAATATGTCTTATCATACAGATGATTCTTATGYGGAGGGTGGTAGGAAACTTTATTTTTCCAAATTCAGACAGAGAAATAAATGTCAAATATATATATTCCTATATAAAATAGCAGGTGGATTTCTTTACCATGTATTCAATGAATCAAGTACTTTTCCAATCTGTCTTTGAAAGACGTACATTTCTTGCATCTACAACATCCTTTGGCAAAGGATTGTCACCAAAAAGGTGACAGTCTCTTTTAGGGAGCAATGAAAGTCTTACTGATGGTCAAAGAAAATCATCTTCCAGCAAGCGATTATGAGCCAGTTCAGTTCATGGCAAGTTTTGCAGGACAGGCAGAAGTAGATAAAGTTTTGGAAGGGCACTTATTAAAAAGCAGTAATTTAAGGGGTGAGAGATGGAAACATAATAACAACCAAACCTCTTTGGACCAGTTATCCATAGAGTGACCCTAACTAGAGAAGCAAGAACAAGGTCAGCCTGTACGATATAATACTACCATCCTTGCCTCCAATTAATTTCAAGCCAAGGACTTTCTTGACCCTGGTGCAGTTTATCTGTTCTGTAAAAGTCCTTTTCCAATCTGTCTTTGAAAGATGTTCATTTCTTGCATCTAAACATCCTTTGGCAGACAGTTTTACAGGTCTGCCACCCACTGCAGAAACACTTCCTTTGTTTGCTTGA